TCTTTCATTTGCTTCAGCCTGACACCAAGCCTTAATTGCATGAGTTCATTATGGACCCAGAATTTGGGTTTGTTTTTCTGAAAATCTTGTTGAATTATGTGGTGCATTGGAGGAAAGCTAAACTAATTCCTGGAGAGAGCTGAAAAGCAACGTGTTTTTAAGAGAGGTAAGATCGAAGTTGAGGGGAAAAATATTTTCTGGGCTGCTTTTAGAGGATGCTGAACCTAAATAGGATATAATGCCAGGTCCGGAATCTTAGTTAGCTTTCAAGAATAGATTTGCGTTTTCCCTCTGCTTCCTAAAGCTTTCTTTTCTTTGGCCTGTCTCAACAACTACCTTTCTTCAATGTCTCCAGGCATATATATCTACTTTTTCACTGTTGCATGCTTCATCTTCTTGTACCTTCATCCAGGAGTGTTGATCCTGGCACATGCTCTGGTTCTGTACAGGGTGATGGGGCATCCAGGATCCAAGACTGCCATTTTTACAGGAGAACTGCACGTCCCAGCTGCTAAATTAAAACTTCGAATGTGGACCTCTTTCCTGTGACCCATGCAAAAAAATTTCTAGGTTCTTCATAACTGTGTGAAAGTAGCTACCTTGCAGACAGGCACAAGACAGTGCATGTGGGCCATTCCTGAAAGAAGTAGAGGCATGGTACATTTACCCTGGGGAGATGTTCAAGTCTGAAGGACAAGTGGATTAGCCAGGTTAAGGTCAGAAAAGCTCGGGGCTACCATCTGCATGGGCTTAGGGTTGGCATGGAACACGGTATACCTTGATGCAGCATCTTCCAGGCTAAATCAGCTTTGTGGGAGAGCTGAGGTGGAAATGGAGACATCTGAGAATTGACAGCCATCCACTAGACAAGACACAAGGGAATCAACATGGTTTGATGTTGCTGGGTTGCGAGGCAGGGCTGTGATTATCAGGTAGGCTTCATTCACTGCTTTCATGGTGTATTGCTGCTGCTACTGTGTCTTATTCCTACCATGAAGAAGTGTCTTGGTTTCCTTGTCCTGGTGTCCTTATGCCTGGTTCTGATGAATGGGAAGGTAGTATTCTGTCTCTCTCTTGCTCTCATGAATGCAGAGGCCAGGATGTGTTTCGGATACATTCTTCCTCAATTTCAAAATTTGCACCAGTACCAGAATAGTTAGATGTATTGTTGTCTTTTTGTGTTGATATTTCGGGCAGTATTTTATGCTTAGGATGAAAAAAAATTAAACATATAACACACAGGGAGGTTTAGCGGAGACATAGTTGATGTAGTTTCCAGCTTTGTTGTGTCTAGACCTAAAAATACTGTATTGTAATTGTTTTACACAAAAATTGCCTTGCCTATCAGATTATTTATTTGACAGTGGCAGCATCAGTGCATGTGTATCAGCAGCATCACTGTTGTGTAGTGTGATTTGTAAGAGAAATCATAATTCTTCTGTTAACTCAGTGTGCAGTAAATTTAGTTTGGAAGGTATGTAGGGGCGAGTTATTCACTGGCTGCTACTGAAAAAAGTTATTGTCAGATTAATGATGGCTGCATTTGGTTTTGTAACTAGATCTTCAGGGGACTGTTGCTGTTACCTGGATGACAAAAATGAGACTGAGGGGAAAAAAAGAAAAGAGTAAGGCCGTAACTGAGTAATCAGGAAATCAGTATCCAGTATGCAAATGATATTTCTTTCTGGCTTTGCTAACTTCTGCTTTTAATACAGCATTTGATTGAACTAATCAGGCTGAATTTCTGTGTGTCCGAGATGAGCGTTTCTAGGATAGTAATAAATAAAAACCAGTGGAGAGTGGGTTCCCAAATCTCAGGAATTCCTGACACTCGATATGGTAAGGTCTTGCCATGTCTTGCGCTGTTGTGGCCAAGAACAGCAACAATATTCTGTCTGAAGTATCCTTGATGTTTTAATAGAGGTTCATTGATTTTTAAAATCTGATAATAGGGTGGATTTTCCTTTTTTTTTCCTTACTCTTCTCTGAAACCTGTTACTAACACAGACAGATTCATAGCTCCAGATACTAAAATGGCTTAGATGTTTGTTGCTTTTCGTCTTGGGGAGAAGTTCTCTCATGGGGAATTCCCTTTGAACTGATCTACTTCTGGCGTGCTTGCTGTCAGGTAAGCAGGTGCTAGGAGGTGACTCTCCAGACAGAATTGTTCGTGCCAAGAATCAGACTTGCTCACTGGCCCAATGCAACAGTATGTATAATGTTTCACATGATCAGAATAGTCTTCAGCTTCATATAGTCAGCCAAGTTTTTCATGTTCATTATTCTGTCTTCTACGCTTCATGCCCTTTACTTAGCTGATTCCCCAAATGCTCCATATTTGTCTCTTGGACTGCATGGGTTATATAATCTTTATATCTTTCTTAAGTAAGCAAGCAATCCGACTTTCTCTTTATATGGGTTTTCTGAAGACTTCTGTTCAATGATGCACAGCCAAGCTCTGGATCAGATAGTGATAGGAGTAAGAAAGAGATAGAACAGCTCTTGGCATGGGAAGCAGAGCCATGAGGCACTGAATTGGTAGGAGATGCTAGGGGTAGAGGTTGGTTAATTTGCTTAAAGGCTGGGTAAGGGGAGGCATTTCCCATTTTGAAAAGGAATAACTCATTCCCCTTGAACCGTTAAACTGTTGCAGTTTTTGTTTCATTTCTCACTTTGCGCAGGTGGTTTGTGTGTGTGTCTCCACATATTTATTTAAGATGACCATTGCTCTAGTCAATTCAATAGATGAGACTGAAATGATATAAAATGGGACTAAAATACAAAAGAGGTGTTGAATTAGTCAGAAGTTACAAGAGAGTAAATTTTTATTTAGTTATGGAAAGCACTGTGATAATGCTTTATGTATACCGTGCTGTCATTAAGTTAAACTTGCAGAGAGAACCTTTGTTTTTTTTTGTCAAAGGATGGCTTTATTTAGCTTGTTTGGGAACATTCATAAGTAGAGATACTGGGCTGGAGTTTGCAGCTCTGCGTTCTTTTCCTTAGCTTCAATTCCCACAAAGCTCACTGTACAAACTCCTGATGCCTGTCATCTAGGGAGGGCCATAAATGTACTTTTCCATGGTATTTCTTAGGCATTATAGATAGTTGCTAGCTGTCTGTAGCATTCTTTAAAAATTTTCCAGAGTTGGCGTTTGCTCATTAATGCAGTAATGCCAAGAAGTGTTACACTCCTCGCTTCCCTTGATGAACAGTCACTAATACAACGTGTGCCCTTATGGTGCCTGCTGCACAGTCCAAATGGAGCACTGGGGAGAGCTAATATGAAATACGGATTGCAGTATCAACCTACTGAGACCATGACTTTTCTTGTGGAAAATGAAATTTTGCAGATACCTGGCTTTATTTGCAGTGGCACGGTTCCATACCCAGAACGATCCTGTCGCTGGGATGCTCCTCAGGTAGGCAGCTGAACCTGCAGTTCTTTAGAAGCAGCTGGAGTCTGTTAGCACGCTCCCCTACCTGCCAACAACAACTGGTAAAATTTGAAGGTGAATCTCTGGTTTGGCTCTCGGTGCCTCTTTCTGTAAAGCTAAGAGTCTGAATAAGTTATTCAGTTAAAATTTTAGTTCTGTTAGTTCTGTAGCTACAACTCATGGGCTTTTGCTGTAGCAGTCGATGTCTCTTGCCCTTTTAGTGGTGCATTCCTAAGAAACCAAACTTTTTGTGTGAGATGATAGTTTCTTTGAGGCTTTGAAGTGTACTATAGTTTGACCTTAAGGAAGCCACGAGCCTGGATACACTGGTGCTGGGAGAGATGATCTTCCTATTTTTCTATCAGTTCTTCTTATGTTTTAGAGTCTCAAATACAAGTCTTTGAAACCTTCTCCGAATAATTCTTACACCACAAATAAAAAAGAAGAGGACTTTCAAGGAGAAACATTGTCTTCTTAAAAACATGACCGTTTGACTTATTTGGCAAATCCTCGCTAGATATTTGTTAGTTTTAGTTTTTCCTGACTGGTTTTGTGGCTTTTAGGTGAAATGTACAACACAAAAATTTCAGGCATCTATTACTTCTTCTATATTTAGAAGAAAAGTACCAGCCCATGTTGTTAGGCAGTTTCTACGTTTATCTCTGTAACCAGTCAGCAAAATTGGGTTTTGAGAATAGTAGTCATTTTAATGAATTACTTCTTCAATGTTGTGAAATAGAGTTCTTCAATCAGTGTTCAAAAAAATTAGGATTCTCTGGCTTTGGGAAAAACTACTTATCTGTGAAATCCTTTGTTTTTTCAAGCAAGATAATATAGCAATTTAAAACCATCAAAAACACAGAGCTAGTTGGAGTCTAAGTTACCATGTGTGAATAGTTCTGCAGAAGTACCTGCCTGTGTCCTCTATTTCATAGCTGGGAAATACGGGTTCCTGAGAAGACTCCCAGAAGTAGATCCAGTAGAACTGTGGTATTCTCCTGAATTAAATGTGAAGATTTTTTTTTTTTTTTTTTTTAGTTATAAGCATACTGCAGATTGTTGCAACTGCAGAGCTTTAATTTCATTTATGGACTAAATTTTGTAAATGTTTCAGTCTAAAAATATGTGCTTCCAGTTGTCTTATGTTAAGCTAAGTTGTTTAGCAACTTATCAAAACAATTCCATGAAATGATTACTATCTTTTTTTATTAATCCCATAGGCAGCTTTTGCAAATGTTTTTGTACTATAAGTGATTGCAGTGAGGCATTAAAGCACATGCAGAGAACAGAATTCCCCCCTTGTACCCTTCTTGCCCTTCAAGTTATGTTTTAATACCAACCTGATAGCGTGGTTTACAGAACTGTGTGTCCTTGGTTCAGGGTGCTATTACAGCTATTTAGTACCAATCCCTGATGAAGCATTTCACATAGTCTTCCTTTTCCAGTAAGAAGTTAAATCTGATTTCTTGTGTTCCGCACAGTCCATGCTTTTCTGCTTGTTAAAACTGGCTGTAGAGAGTTATAGGAAAGCGATGTTAAAGCCACGGTAATACTTTCTTTCAGGAATTACGGCGGAAGTCATAGTGGTAGCCTCTTTTGATGAACTGCACAGAAGAGCTCAGGAGGCCAAGGGGAAGATTGTTGTCTACAACGAACCTTTCATCAGTTACGGTGAAACTGTGCGGTACAGAATGCAGGGAGCAGTGGAAGCTGCTAAAGTTGGAGCAGTGGCATCCCTCATTAGATCCATTGCTTCTTTTTCTATTAATAGGTAAGCATTTTTCTGTTTTCTCCCTGTGACTCACATTTAAGCCTTTAGTTCACATGTCATTTCTGGGCATGCATTTTTGTTCCCTGTGACTTAAATGTTGCCAGTTATGAGTGGGTGTTTGGTTTTAAAACTATTGGCTGCACAACAGTTCTTTTTCCCCCTGTGCTTTGTCATTCTTTCAAAATGTTTTCATTTTTTGTTACTGATCCAAATTTTGTTGGATATTTGTTTTAAAGAGCTTCCTGCATTCTCAAGGCTGCCATAAATATTCTGAGATCAACCAAAATCAAATGACTTTAGTGACAACATGTATCAGACTGTCAGTGATGATATGAACTGGTCATTCTGTGTATTTGACTAGTATTGTTTCGATAGTATCTGAATTTAAAGTACTTTACTTTTGAGAAAGCATTTTCAACAAATGTGATGTTCATGATACATTTGCTAATACTTACAACTTTCTAATAGAGTTCATTCATAATAATGAAGAGATAGTAGAATATGTTTCAGAAACAGTTTTATGAAAAATTATACATTTTCAAAATAGTCTTATTTCATATCATCAAACAGTATTGCAATCTATAATCTGTTGATTATCTGAAAACCAGAAGATGATCTGTCCTGTCCTTAGTGCTGGTGCCCTGCAGAGGTATTCACCTGAAAGCAACTCTTCCTATCTTCTCTTTGCCAGACTATTTATGGAAGTGCATTTTAACGTGTAATAGAAAATTTAGAGATGAGGAATAGAGGTGGAGACCGAAGGTAGCAGAGCCTGTTTATTAGGTCTGGGTGCTGGCATAACAGCTATTTCAGAAGTGAATGAAAAGAGAGGAGGAAAATACGCCAAATGCATGTTTGTTTAGAAGTATTGAATACTTAATTGAGGGTGGGAGCCAAGGTGTCATTCCCAACAGCAATTTCAAATTTAGATGCTTCCACGAAGCATTTTTGCATGAAATGTACTTTCTGTTCTTTCTTTATTTACCTTCACTTAGGGTTTTTTTGGGTGTGGGAGGGATTGGTTAATCTATTTTTTCCTATAATAAGGGAGATATTCAGGTCCAGTCCATCACTTCTGCCATTTTGTGATGCCTAGGTCTGTTTGTCTTGTTTCTAACAGAAAGTAGGTATTGCTGTAGGCAGGATGGGTTTTCTTATCTCCATGCCTTCTGCTATGTTTTTTCTTAATCACCAGCTGTGTGTCTCCTTGTCTGTCCTACCTATGTGCTGTTCTGGATGGACTTTGTGCTGGCTGCAGTGCTTCTTGTCAGTCAGTGTCTGGGGCACTGTGTGTTCAAATTGCTTACCTTTTTGATTGACTGATGGGAAATACTGCATTGCTGCAGGGAGTAGTGCGTTAGAAGGGTGAGAGGTGAAATGTAAAAAGCTGATAAAAGACTTCTAAGTGTTGTGAAGGAAAGTCTTGCATTCTTGCAATTAGTATTGCAAGCCTTGTAGACCAGAATCTTTAGTACTTGGGCCTGTGTGTTTACATGTGCATCTATAATATAAATAGATGCTAATGGGGTTGTGGTGGTTCTCCAAAACATCCTGGGAACATCTTGGAAGAAAGCATCCTCCTTCTGATACTGTACTATCCCACTTTCCTTAGGTGAATGAAAGGTAGAACGTCATAATTTTCCCTAAATTATATTAGCTCTCATGTGTTGGTTTTTGTGGTTTTTGTTTGTTGGGTTTTTTTTGGTTGTTTTTTTTTTTTTAGTATTTCAACCCCTTTTGGACAGGGGATTGTTTATTGTTATTTGCTTACTCTATTTGCAGTGAGTTAAGCTGGCTGGAACAATGGAAGACACTTCACGGTGTGATTTCTAGGTGATCTTGCAATGTGAATAATATTCCTAGGTTAAAACTAGGTACTTTCTGGTAGATTAACATCTTACACTCATTAAGGCTGATTATTAAAGCTTACTGACAAAACAGAATTGGTAAAATCACAATATGAATAAAATCAGTGTTCTCTTGGTGGCAGCTTGGTGGCTGTTCCTTGTTTCGGAGATGGCAAGTGGCTACCACATTGTCAAGGGCAAAAAATGTGAAGGGAACCTTTAAACAGGGATTATGTGGGCAGCTTGTTTTTCTTTCAGGTATGGTAGCATAGCTATGGAGTGAATGAAACCGCCTGGGGTCTCAGGCATCCCAACTCTGCGTGAGGACAAGAAGGGATGAGCTTAAATATACTCAGGAAAACTCATTGCTGTGTTTATATTAGGGCTCGTGCCAACTCATCAGTGACAGACTTGAAGGGTTTGTTATTGAGTTTCAAGGAGTGAATTAATTTATGTAGGACAGAAATGGTAAGTGAATAGGAAATAAAATTAACAACAGCATCTCCCTTGGTCTGTGAAGATATGACAGTAGTTACATGGTTGGTATTACAGTGTTGCGTGGCAGTTGTGTCTCGTGGCATAGTCCCCATATTGTGTTAGAATCAAATAGTTCTCTTGCTATTTTATAGGTATCATGTAAGAGTGGGTTTTGTTACTTAAGAGAAAGTCACTGTAACAAGTAGGTAATTTTCTCTGCCTTCCACCCAAATGGTGTGTTTATGATAGCCTTTTTCCTAGTAACAATTTCCTGAAGCACTGGCAATTTGCTGGTGAAAACTTTTAAACGTGGGTATTAAGAGTTAAGAGTAGCAGCAGTATTTTTAATGATCTTTCTCAAATAACATGTATTATTGTAATTAGACAACAGTACCCATAGTATTTGGCTTTTTGGAGAAATCCGTGTGTTGACTTTTTTTGCTTTAATAGCTTGACTGTGCTGTGATTAATGGTCTTGTACAAGTTTAAGTAATACATACATTTACTGTTGTGTACAATAAACTGATAAGTATTTCCCAGTTTGTAGTGGATGTTTTTACAGCAAAAATAATTTACAATGCATGGTTAAAAGTGTGGTTGTAATAAGCTAGTCATAAGTCTGGTTTTTTGCTTCCTAGCTGTACATTTTTAGAACGTTTTATAGATAAAAGATATTCTTTAGCTATTGAAATGCTCAAGTATTTATCCTGTGGTGAATGTAGTCTTATGAATAAAAAACTAAAAGTAAATCTTTCTGTTCCTCAAGAACCGTAGATTATATAATGTTGTAACACTATGTCTTGTGATAATAACCCCTTTAAGAGCTCAAGAAAGAACCAAAATCAAGTGTTTTTCAAGAACTCGAAAAGAAAGTTCCCCAGAATTCTCAGAGATAAATGCCAAGAGCCCAATTATTATTTTTTTAAATGTTGCAGAACAATCTCTGCTGTATATAAGAAATCCAACAGGGAACATATTACAAGTCCAAAATAGACTAAGAAGTACTTTGACCCAGTCTGGAGGCTGTTAACAGGGACACATACTTGGTCAAGTTCTTCTCTTTCTTTCTCTTCTGCTTGTGAAGCTCTAGTAACTCTAATCAAAAGCTGTGTTTAGTTGAAAGCTGAGTTCATGAGTGGCACAGTGCAACTCAAGAGTTACGGCAGAGGTTGGCTGGGCAGCCTGAGTGGGTGCATATGACACGATGAAGTGCAGGCATGCCAGGGCTGCAAGATCAGTTCATGCAATGTATGTGAATTTGAAAACTGTTGCTTTTCCTTCATCTTAAGTTTCCCATTTTTGTAACCTCACTTGGTTTATTTTCTTCATGTATACCTATTTTTACATACATTGTACTCTCAAAGTGCATTTTCTTTTCCTCTCCTGTTTTCCCTTTTATTCTTCACTGCTTTGTAAACAATTCATTCCCTTCTCAATCTTGCTGGCAATGTATGTGCGTTAGTGTCATCTTTCAGCTCTCAGGTGCTAGCACAGTGATTTCTTACCACATCACCTCTTCCTAATGCTTGGTCTGCTGCCTTTGGTTCCAGATGTGAGACTTGTCTGCTGAGTAGAGTTTCCTCCTTTCCCTAAAACTCCATGTCTAAGGAAAGTAAGGGCTTATCCACGTCAGTAGATGCAGAGACACTCAACTGCCACTCATTCTGCCAAGTTTTCCCAAGTCTAGGATGATGCAGTAGTTTTGGTAGGGTTTCTGGTGCTTTTATTTGTTTTTTATATCAGAGAGATGCATCTGGCCTTTAAAACTGGTGTTTTATCTTTGAAATACTGTGTCCTCTGGTTGTGTCATGAGCCCTGAAGTCTCCTTTCCCTCATCTTCTGTCCCTCCTTCCACCGTGAGTGCCAGTTGTACTGGTTTCGGCTGGGATAGAGTTAATTTTCCTCTCAGTAGCTGCCATGTTTTGGATTGAGTAGGAGAAGAATGTTGATAATACTGATGTTTTCAGTTGTTGCTATGAAATCAAGGGCTTTTTCCAGTTTCTCGCATCCAGCTAATGAGCAGGTGTGCAGGAGCTGGGAGGGAGCACAGACAGACAGACAGCCAAGCTGGCCAGTGGAAATATTCTGTACCATAAATGTTACACTCAGTGTAGCAGTTGAGGTTGTCTGAAGGCCTTGGATCTTTCTTTGCTTTCTCTTTGCTGGGAGTTCAAATCCTCTCTTGTCTGGGGGTTTGCTCTTCTTCAGAAGTTTTGCAAAATTCGCAAAATTTGCAAGCTGGGGCTTCCGTGATCGCTGCTAGGGGACCGGCTGTGAATCGGTTGTCGAGTGGTGAGAAAATCTGTATTGTATATAGTTTGTTTTGCGTACTAATTATTACCATTGTTATTACCATTATTATTAGTAGTAGTGTTATTTCCTTTTTTGTCGTATTAAACTGTCTTTATCTCAACCCACGATTTTCCCCTTGTGTCCATTTTTCCTCCCTATCCCACTGGAGGGGAAAGGGAGGGCTGTGCAAGTGGCTGTCTGGTGCTTGGTTGCCGGCTGCCGGGTCAAACCAGTTAATATGTTACATGTTAATATTTTGCTACCATCTTAGGAGTCTTTCTCCCTGTGACCCGTTCTGCTGTCCATAAAGGGGGAGCAGTGCCATGTCCGTGTGGGATTGTATTTCAGCTGGTAAGCGCTGGCTAAGTCTTGCGTGTGAGCGAA